CTAAACAAATTAACAAACAAAAACCAAACAATCCCATAACAAAGTGAGTAAAGTCTCCAAAAAAAGTGGGCAAAAGTCATAAAGAAACAGTTTTCCAAAGAAGACACACACAGCCAACAAACATGAAAAAATGTTCAATGTCACTGACCATTAGAGACATGCGAATCCAAACCACAATGAGACACCACCTCACACCGGCCAGAATGGCTATTGTTAAAAAGTCAGAAAATAACAGATGCTGGTGAGGTTGCAGGGAAAAGGGAACACTTATATAGTGCTGGTGGAAATGTAAATTAGTTCAGCCATTGTGGAAAGCAGTGTGATAATTCCTCAAAGAACTGAAAACAGATTACCATTTGACCCAGCAATCCCATTACTGAGTATATACCCAAAGGAATATAATCATTCTATGACAAAGACACATGCACTTGTGTGTTCATTGCAGCACTATTCACAATTGCAAAGACATGGAGTCCACCTAAATGCTCATCAATGGTAGACTGGATAAAGAAAATATGGAACATATACACCATGGAATACAATGCAGTCATAAAAAACAACGCGATCATGTCCTTTGCAGCAAAATAGATGTAGCTGGAGGCCATTATCCTAAGCAGACTAATGTAGAAACAGAAAAACAAATACCACTTGTTCTCATTTATAAGTGAGAGCTAAACATTGAGTATATCTGGACACAAAGGAGGAAATAACACACACCAGGGCCTACTTGAGAGTGGAGAAAGGGAGGAGTGAGAGGATCAAAAAACTATCTAATGGGTACTATGCTTATTACCTGGGTGATGAAATTATCTGTTCACCAAACCCCTATGACATGCAGTTTGCCTCTATAACAAACCTGTGCATGTACCTCTGAACCTAAAATAGAAGTTAAAAAAAAAAGTAATTTTGTGCGAGGCATAGTGTCTCATGCCTGCAGTCTCAGCACTTTGGGAGGCTGAGGCAGGAGGATTGCTTGAGTCCAATAGTTCAAGACTAATCTCGGCAACATAGGAAGACCTTGTCTCTACAGAATATTAAAAAATTAGCTGGGCATGGTGGTGCATGCCTGTGGTTCCAGCTATACGGGAGGCTGAGATGGGAGGATCACTTGAGCCCAGGAGGTTGAGGCTGCAGTGAGCTGTGATGGTACCATTGCACTCCAGCCTGGTTGACAGAGAAAGATCTTGTCTCAAAAAAAAAAAGAAAAGTAATTTTGAAAAGACTTACGTGGAATATGTTAATAGCACATTTCATTTCTAAAGTGAGGGGAAATTGTAAGATCATAACCAGGGACCTGTATTAGGATAGGGAGCTATTTAAGGCTTATTAGCAAAGCTTACTAGCTAAGATGGTTAATACCTTGTCTTACCTGGCACATCAGCTTCTGTCTTTTTCTTATCTATAACCTGAGTTAAGTTATATTTGGCTTATTTGGTATCCTTAAAATTTAGGGTTTGCTTTGGTTGGCCGTGTAATACTCTAAGAGAGAGAACACCAGTTTTGCCACCTGGATGTATTACTTTGATTCTTCCATAAACATTTATTTATTTATTTGAGACAGAGTCTTGCTCTGTTACCCAGGCTGGAGTGCAATAGTGTAATCTGTGTTCAACACAACCTACACCTCCTGGGTTCCAGCGATTCTCCTGCCTCAGCCTCCAGAATAGCTGGGATTACAAGCACGCGCCACCACGCCCAGCTAATTTTTTGTATTTTTAGTAGAGATGGGGTTTCACCGTGTTGGCCAGGCTGGTCTTGAACTCCTGACCTCGTGATCCACCCACCTCGGCCTCCCAAAGTGCTGGGGTTATAGGCGTGAGCCATCACGCCTGGCCCCATAAACATTTAAAAAATACTCTCTCCATATTCACCCCATTTAAAAATTAGAAAAATAATACACATTTATTGTAGAAAGTTTGGAAAATACAAAAATATTTTAGAAGTAAATAAAAAATTTCATAGAGTTCTACCACCTAGAGGAAATGATATTTTCCTTGATTGATATCATGGATGTTTTCCTCTGTTGTCAAATATTCTTTTGAAACTTTTTTTTTTTTTTTTTT